AAGCTTTAATTCTTGAAGAAAGAACAGAAATTAGGAAAACATTGAAAGAATGTGAGGCCCTCACCGCCATTGTTTAGCTCGTTCTCGTAAATGCTGGGATCAAAGTTGGTCACAGCCTCTTTGCCATTGCACTTAATTGCAGCTCTGTCATAAGCCCTACAAGTAATTACCAAAAAAAAAATCAAACACCACCAGACTCACCCGCGTGAATTATATTCCCCGTTGGATTTACACATCCCAGGTAGTGCATTCCTAGCTAGGAAAGTAATAATTAAAAAAAAAGTAGGAAAACAGTATAAGCACCTTGCAGCTTCAATCTCAGTGTCAAACAAGCCCAAGTAAACATACCTGCAAAACCAAACTCAAAAAATGAAAATCAAATAAAAGCAAGAGAAATTGAAGAAAGATGCAAAAGCATATTACGAGAAAATGATAGAGATGGATATCGTTATATATACTCTCCAAGAAAGAAGAACAGACAAGGAAATAAATAACCAAGAAAAAATTATTACTTTTTGCCTAAAAATTGGCCCATTCGTGCTTCCCATCTACCACATTTGTGCAAGGTTACACCTCTATATTTAGAACTCCCTCGAGGAAACCCGGTGCTTTGTCGGCGGAGGACATGCACAAACTCTTCCTTAGTAAGGTTGCTCATCTGTTCACCACACAAGATTCTTGTCTTTGTTAACCATATTGTTTCCATTTATGTTTTCAATATAACCATCAAAGGAAGAAAAGCACATCAAAGACACAACTGTTGAAGATAAGATAGCACTGTTGAAGATAAGATAAAAATCAGTAAAACTCGAAGATAGTCCCTCTCACTCTCTCTATCTTTTTTTTTTTTTTTTGATATAATCTCTACCTCTTGAATTTTTTCTTTTACCTGTTTCAAGTCTTCCTCATAATCTTCAATACTAAAATTTATATCTGCCTCCACTCCACGAAACTTGATTGCTGCCCTATCGTATGCACTGCAAATTACCAAAGGGAAACGGAAAAAGATCTTCTTTTAAGCCAGAAATTGTGGTCCTCTTATTTTTACTCAGATGAGCACAAGTGAATGTTTTCAGCTTTAACAAACCCAAGGACCTAGAGAAAGAGCTTACCGAGCAGCTGCATGTGCAGTGTCAAATCCACCTACACAAAACATCCAAGAAAAGAAGAAAAAACAATCACACCCACATCAGAATTGTCTGCATACTATCCATGATAAGGGAACCTTTTTTTTTCCCAACACACAAGAGCATATCGACAATGAAGATCAAGTAATATGACTCCTACCTAGATAAACTTGCTTCCCACAATCCCTGCATCAAGCAAACAACCAAAGAACACAATATAAATTCTGATTCCCAGAAACAAACCCACAACAGGAAATATACCTATACGTCCATAGGTGTAATAATATATAAACTTGCACACTTAAGAAAGAAACACCCCCACTAACCATATATGAGACTCCCATCGGCCAGTTCTCCTGTAGAAGGTAACCCCACGGTACTGTGAGCTCCTGGACCTCGGGCCACGCCGGCTCTTCTTCAACGGTTGTGATGGTGAGACCTCGACGGGTTTTTGATGGGAAGCAAGCGATGAAATTTCAGATTGGCAAAACTTGACTCCAACCCAGTGAGCCCTAGGAAAACCAGCTCCTCCTCCCCCACCTCCACTACCATCAGCACCACCGCCACTAGCAGCAGCGGACGTGGCCCCCATTTCGGGGTCGTCCACGGGAAAGAACTGCCGTGTCACTGGCGGCTCATCACTGTCCATGGCACTGTCCTCCTCATAGGGCACCGAGAAGCCGAATATTCTGCTGCTACGCTTCTTGATGAGCAATCTTCCTCCTCCTCCTTCGCCACTCCCATCTTCTTCCTCGGATCCATCCTCGATGACCACGGCGGAGGAGCTGGAATTCGACACGGATCCGACCCTCTTCCCCTTCTCGTCCTCGCCGTCCACGGAGGTCTTCTGCGACGAACACCCCTCGGATTCGTCGTCCATTCTGTGATCAGGAGAGTCGTTCAAGTCCCACATTTTTTTTTTTTCCTCTCTTTGCTTTCTCTCCAAAGGGTACTTGAGAAACAAAAAGGGAAAGGTGAACTAGAGAATAGTAGTGCGGTCAGATTCTTTATTATGTCACCTCGAAGATGAAAGACTAGGAGAATTAAGGCTGGCTACCACTTGGCTATGGAAGAAGCTAGAGAAGAAGAAAATTTTTTCTTGATGTTTGTGAATCAGTGAACAAAAGAAAAAATAAATGGATGAAGCGTAGCGTATATATATGTATAAAGAGACACGAGAGGGTCGAGTTGAGTTATTTAAAGGAGGAAAAAAACCTACGACTGGAGAGAGTAGAGAGAGAGAGAGAGAAGAGACAGAAGAGAGGTGTTTGTGTTGCAAAAGAGGTAGTAGGGGAGATGTTTCAAGATCTTTGTATCCCTAACTGCCCAATACAGCATAGACGAGGCCAGTTTGAGCTAGCTTAGCCGAAAGCCACCCTCCTTAAAAATACTTCTCTCTCTAGTCCTTCACTGATCTCTGCTTTTCTTTTTTTTCTTGTGGTTTTGTTCTTTCTCTCTCTAACAACTTGCCTCTTTCTTCTCTCTCTCTTCTTCTTTTTTCTCTTATTTTTTTTTTTAATTTCTTTTGGGGTTTTCAATGGCTCATCATCAACAACAGTTTCTTTGCTCTCTTGGGAAGAGAGAGAGAGAAGACATGGCTCTTATGTTTCTTTATTTTGATATTTTTTCCACAAAAGTTTTTTTAAAGGTTTATTCAATCATGTATGTGAGCTATGTGTCAAATTTGGCTTTTCTAATAACCCAATCCTCAGTTTTGTTCTTTTAAAAAAGAAAAACTGAAGAGGAACTTTACTGTTCTTCTTCACACAAGTGTTGGTTTTGTAATCTTTCTATCTTTTTCTTATTGGTGGGTGGGTTCAAAGGACACAGATGAGATGTGGGGGAAAAATGAGAATGGAAGAAAGAACCGTCTCTTTCTTACTCAACTTTCCCACGTTAACCAAATCGAAAAGCATCCTCTCTCTCTCCCTCTCTCTGTCTCCCTCTATTGTTTTCTTTCTCTCTCTCTCTATTACCCACTACTAGAAATAGACAGCGCAAACACTAGAAGGATGGCTAATTACTCAATTACCTTTATTAGCTAATTAATTATCATTATTCATACACTCACGTCACCAGTCACCCTCCATCCCATCACTCGCTCTCACTCTCTCGTCCACTCTCTTTTATTATATAAATAAATATATATTTACTTAGCTTGAATAGTACTAGTAGGAGTAGTAGTTCTTTCTTTCTGTGACCATATTAAGCAAGTGTAGCCTCCAATCACTAACATACAAAAGAGGCATATGGCATATTTCTTTCACTTTTTATACCATAACTAACACGGGCAGTAAATGGTAAGAGAGGCAAACAAAGTGGGGAGTGATATTAGGGGGAAGGGAAACCTGGTGTAGGGTTGTTTTGGGGAAGTTGGAAAAGATCACAGTGATACCATTACCAACCACAAGGCACAAAATAAAAAAGAAAAAAGAAAAGAAAAGGTAAAGGCAAGAGAGATAGATCACCAAAGAAAGACTACTATGTAGTAAGAGAGAGTAACAAAGGAAGAGGGAGGGGGGGGGGGGGGGGGGGTGAGGGGTATGGGAATCAGAATTCAGAAAAGGAAACGGGAATAATGTTAGGAAAAGGAAAATCTTTCCAGAAAGGTCCAATCCAAGAGTACGGGAAGAGGGCCACATTTTCCTCTTTCGTTTTAAGCTTCCAGCGACCAATGGCTTCTCTTTGCTGTACCTCGTATTTTTTTGGCTCTTTTTTTTTTCTTCCTCCCCACTCGCCCCACCCTTAGCGCGTCCCCGCCTGCCCGGCCCCCTACATTACACTCTTTTTTTAGTGTCCACCAATAATTAATTAACAACATTATTGAATTGCAGAATACAGATATACAAAATCACTCACCCGTTGCTCTCATGCAATTTTCGTTCGTTTGCCATGTATAGAGTGGTATTCCTTGTATACCATCTATTTAATTAGCATCAAATAGCACCACACCAGCCAGGTGCTTTGTTGAGTTGCGCATAGAGTTCTGTACTTTTTTGATATCTATAGTTTTGATCTCTTAAAATAAAGATTTTTTTTGTGTTTTTTTTACACCCAATCTTTTTTCTTTTCTTGCAAAATATCAGGGCCAGTGAAAAAACTAAATTTGTTTAATGAACCAATCAAGTATTGCGTAATAATATATGGTTCTATATATCATTCTAAACGAGTTAATAATCTTTGTTGCCGATATTTTCTTCAAAACATAAAAACCAATCTTCCTTGGTGTCATAATAATTATCATTTTTTAAGTATGCTTTATGTCTATGTTTTCCTCTTTTAAGAATCACAACATCCCATATTTTCAAACCTATAAGCAAATTCTTTGTCTTACAATCTAACATTTTCAAAATTATTTTTTATTTACACTGTCTGGTGTATCGGTTATTTAAAAAAAAACAAGAATTTAAATTCAATCAAAATTTATTCAATAATAATAAGACTTTGTAACTATTTATGAGATAAAAAATAGTACGACTTTGCCATATTTTAAGTTTATTTATTTTCTTCTCAACTAAGATTCTCGAAATCAAATTCCTTTCTACCTTATGCTGTGCTTCCTTTTTCGTCTCACTCTCCAAATTCGTTTCATTTAAGATTCGCAAAGTTTTATGTATTTATTTAAAATTTCAAAATTCCAGTTCTAATCAACATGCATGTATGTATGATATGAATAGTGGGCCATCGCTTCAGAGATTAAAAGCAGGGCCCAGATTCATAGCGGAACTCAAATAGCATGTCCAAATGATTCATTTTATACCCCCAATTTTATATTTGGACAAGAAATGGCAAAACACCTAATCTCATTTACCATTCTTTTTTAATGTGGTTAATTTCATACACAAATTTTAAGGTGGCTCAATTGGAAAACATGAATTTACAAAATTAATAAATATAATATACATATTCACAAAATTATATCAATTTACTCAGAGTTGTCAAAATTAATTGGTTGACTAATAAGAAATCAACATGTGTCAAGTCCACCATTAACATGATAAATCAGAGTAAATGCATTTTTTTTTTTTGATGAGGGAGTAAATGCATTTGAAGTCCTGTAATTATAGTTATTCTTCATTTCAATCCACAAGCTCTGACAAACATCAATCAAGTCGCGCCATTATTTTTGAGTTTTTCAATCTGCTGACATATAAAATTAATATTTTATTATATTTGAAATGTTTTAAAAAATAATTTTAATATTCAGTAAGCAGAACTTTTCTCTCCATCTAAAAATAGAATAATCGTATATAAAATAAAAATAATAATAATTTCAAATGAAATTAGTCGTCCCACCATGTAGAACGAAAGGAATAGTCAGGACATATCTGCTGTACACATGCTTCAGAAAATTTAGGATAAAGGAGGCAGAATACTATATAAATACATACGTCCACTGTAATTCTCTTCTAAATTTCCTGTCAAGACGATTTAAATGTTTCAGACCTATATTGTTAGGCAAAGGATGTGCAAGACGAACAACTTTTTTTTTTTTTCTGTCATATTGAAATTAATTTGGCCAGGATATATATGTAGACGCCATTATCTCGCTTCCAATTTACCTGTCCTATATATTCTCTCGCAGAAGATGCTGATTAGCTCGCTGCCTAGAAGTTCGATTAGTCCATTGAAAAGAATGCACAACTTGTCCCTGAATCGGGTACCAGTCCTTTGGAATTGGATGAGTTTGGACAAAGAGCTCTTTACTACCAAACCAACGAACCAAACTCTTGCACCAAACTTACTACAGTACCTGTTCTTTCCTTCTTTTGAACCAGCAATTCTACACCCATGACTACCTCAGTATCCACCCACCATGCAACATTTATAACCCAACAAATTAGGTTTGGTTCTCTCCAACTTTATCTGTCTATATACGGTCTCTGTGTCTAGAAACCATGGAAATGGTAAATGAAGCAGATGAATCGGAGGGCGAAGAAAAGCAGAAATTTTTATAAGGTAAAGATTTAGTTCGTTATTTCACAGCCCGGCTAAAAAGTACATTTTTTTTCAATAAAATTGTCAAAATTCTCCCCATGAGTTGTTTTAAACAGGACTCCACTTATGTACCAGATACACTTGACCACAGTGTTAGGTGCCCTGAAAAATTCTTTTTGGTTGATCCCAGAATTCAAGGTGCTGTTAATAAATATGGAAAGTGGTATATATGAATAGGGAGATTTAAATTATTTTCATACTATTATAATTTGTCCAAATGCGCCATCCTTCTTCATGGAGGTTGAGAAAAAAGAGCTACAGAGCTGGCAATCAGATCTGATATCGGAGTATATGTCATTTATAGTAAGGAGAATATAAAACCCCACAAGCGTCCAACACTTTTTAGATGATATGTGTTGTATTTTTATGTATGGTTCTGAATTAATATCATCATTTCTTTTCCAAAACCAAACAAAGAACCTAAAACGAACTTGTACGATTAGGTTTGTTTATTTTTAGTTTGCGGGAAGAAAGTACATGCAGGTTCACAATTTTGGCAGACCAACCTTAAAATATCAATGCTAACTACCAGAGCAACTCACACAATTGAGGAACTCGGCTTTGCTAAGGTCCACCATACAAAAGAAGAAATGAGATTGCCAATTATATTGAATCTCTTCCCTCCATCGCGAATCATGCAACCAAACTTTTGCATGCTCTTAAATGGAGATGACAACAAATTAGGTGCCCGCTAGATGAATTATTCGCCAAGCCCCAAACTCTGATAATAGGTAAAATTTCTGTCCCAAACTTCACCGAAATGATGATTAAGAAAATGCTAATTTTGGAAGGTAATAATTGATAGTTGTGTAATAAACACGATGTTACTGTAGCCAATTACGCAACAATAAATTTCTCAAGCTTTACTCTCTTTTTTTTGTTTGTAAAAAAAAGCTTTACTCTATATTTTCGTTT